TATATAACAATCATAATATCTTGTAACATCTAGACCCTCCTTGTTCAATGTTATAGAGTGAATAATTTGTAATGGTACATAGTATCTCAATGTGGATGATGATGATTAAATGAAACCAATAAAATATTGTTTCATTAGGATCAAAAGTGACTCTTTGTTCGACAAGCGAATTTTGCATTTGCGAGGCGAGGAGAAGCAAAATTTGCGAGTCAAACAAAGTCACTTCTGATCCAAATGGAACATGCTATTCCTTCTGCAACCGAAAGAATCAACAGTAATACATATAAGTGAAGCAACCACCAATGTGACTCACTGGAAAAATTATTATAATGATATGAGTAAGTAGATAGAAGCAATACCTCAGACTACTTTACTTTGTTACAATTTGTGTAGACATGCATCATGTCATTAGAGATTACAGCATTATAGGTACGAATTCGATACTACTCGAAATGTTTATGCCGTGCCACCTGCCTATACAGATCAGGTTTATCCATGTTTCAGAGATGTTCGAATTCCAATGAAAATACAATCACAGAGTGACCTTATTGTGTATTCTGAATCGATGAATTCATTTGGACCAGGTGTCATTCCTAATAGCAACTACAGCGCCGGTGCCAGGTATAGGAAAATGAAGTGGAAAATGTTCGGTTAGTGAGTATATCAACAAAAATAATAACGATTATCTATTCCTCTCCATATTACGGAATTCACTGCATTTGACTCGGTAATCAAATGAAGGTAAACGATATCGTTGTGTGAGACAAAAAGGTATTGATGGCCTTGAATATTCAAAAACAAGTTATCCGATCATTCAGATACCTGTAATAACGAATGAACTAGGTACAGATATGGAGCAAGAGTGTGAATCCAAACCCGAATAACCAACCGTAACAATGTTGTTTATTCTTGATGACCTAGTACATCCTTTTCAGTTCCTAGGAGCTGTAATTCAACTTCAGCTCCTGGGAATTGAAAGTGTTGCCTAGCAACATACCTATATTTGTGTCAGTAATAGAAACGTCAATTCAAGAGCTAATGTGAGGATGTTAATATTCATTGATTCTTTAAACATTCATATATATATAAATATACCTATATAACGCATTTATATAGGTACATACAATATACAATGATCCTTATAATATCTATGTTATTATTCATTGTTCGAAATGATGAGGACCTTCATCAACATTATCTTTATCATTGTTAATAATATTATATCATGATCATATTCACTGTTGTTTTCCCCTTCTGCAAAAATCTGTTATGACGCTTCTGTCCTTCGATTTCGACTGTTTCTATTAAGTAGGCCTTTCAAGCCATTTACTTTTTTATATCGGCTTCCCAAGGCTCTAAACTGTTCGCTCCATCGAATCCCTTCATTTTCAAACCATTATTTACAATCATTTGGGAAAATAGAGTGAAAAATAACAGTAGTATATTGAGTTCAGATAGCAAACGACTGTGTATTTTGGTTGGTTCAACTCCAGAAAAGACAAGTCATTTGATAAAGGAATTCTTATCTGGTGACAAAAAAAGGGATATAAGCGAAACATGATACCACTAAGTGTTTCAGTAGTTATAAAAGAAGCGAAGATCGATGAAAGAATAGAAACAAAAATATTGATAAAGCTATAATGTCCAGGAAACAAACTTATAAAACAATTTCTCGCCAAGGAAATGGGAATATGAATGCCCATTGCCCACTTTATGATCGACAGTTGAAATTAATTTCGAATAATAGGGTCTGATTTCGATGTATTAATGAATATCTGCGAACAATTTCAGGGGGTAATGCCTTTTTTCATGTTTTATTACAAAAAGTATCTGAACATTTGTCTCAACTTGCTTTGTTTCCTAAATACAAGGTATTTGTGTTCACTCAAAGTCGCTTTCTCAATTTCAATGGAACGTGGTATGGTATTTTTCATGCAGATTCTTTTGGTGTAATTAAATTCGAAATACTAATTCCAGTTGCATCGCGAGGTCATCCATATTCTTATTGAATTGAACTATTGAAAATAGCAATGAAATCCCATTAATCGAGATTACTCGATGACCTCAATAAATATTATTCTGAAATTTTGAGACTGTATGTCAGTCACCAAGTAGAGTTAATTCTGCCACCATGAGAGCGCATACAGGGGAAAACTTGAATAAATTAAATCAATGACAATGAATCAATACTATCTATCTATACTCCGTATTCACATCACGAACACAATAAGCATTCTCCTTCTTACGGTATTTATGAAATATTCATTGTTTCCATCCGTTCAAAAAACTGATGGTGTGTTGTATAAGGTTTTCCGCACAAATGCACATTATGATATTTCATAACAGATACATCCAAACTATAAACTATGCTGATGAATAGATACTTTATAATGAGTTATTTTCATACCATATAACCCTGACATGAATGAATGAATCTTCATGCATACATAGCCTCCTTCCTCTTTACCTTATTCGGAAATATCTTATGAATAACTGATGAGATACAACGGTTCAAATTGAGGTAATGTTTGTTCAGATACTGATGAAAGAAAATCAGGGTTTCAACTTTCGACGGAAGAATCTTATTACCAGCTTTCAACGTTGAGGAAATCAGAGATGATGGATTCCTCTGTGAAATCTGTTTGCATCTTGATTATTATATATTGCATTGGAATTTTCCCAATGGGAATGATGACTGCATATCCAAGACTGTCCTAACTTTTATATTCAACATTCGACCAGTAGTTATAGATCACATCACTACAGCTATATAAAAATAGATAAAATCTTTGCAAGTGTGACTTTTATACTTATTGAAGAAAATGTTTCATAAGAATTCATAAAACGCTCTGTTGATGATACAAGGCGTATACAATACCCAATTTTAGAGTATGAACCATTGCAATGATATGAATTTTTCCTTCCTTTTAAGTAACTCTGATGTGAAATATATCTGGTATCTATGTATATACCCTGTGGTAGACTAATTGGGAGAAGTGAATAGAAATTTTTGTCATTTAAATTATTTACCCTTTTTTGTGCTTTCGCTCATACCGGAAGTTGTTATTCCTAATGAAACATCCTGTGTTGCATGATATTATTCTTGATCATAATCAATGGTTGATACTATGAGTTCATTCCAAAAATGTTTGCTAGATAACATCAAATACTAGGAATGATTCTCATTACTGTGATTATGTAAAATATAGTGTGTTGTCAACGATGCGGTATTCTCGAGGGTATTCTTTAGGAGGATGTAGAATTCATTGAAATATACAGAACCATGAACCCAGGCAACCACAAGACGTTTCAGTGACGTCTCGTTATGTCGGTTGAATGACCAAGGTGACGTCACATAACGTGTTAAATGACGTGAAGAAGTCACAGCCCAATTACGTCATATTACTCACCATAATTTTCGTCAGCCACTCACCTAAATGACGTCAATATGACATTCAAATTAGGGGGAGAAACGTCAATAAATTCTCATTAAACATGATATGAATACACCATTGTAAATAATGTTGACGAATTGAACTTCACTTTGTCGAGTGATATATATTGATGTATGCTTTGCCAACCATCTTGAATCTAAATAGCATATTTTTGACAAATTCTCTTGAAGTCTACCAAATTTGTAGGTCACACCAACTCGATTTTTTGACGACACAGATACGACACTGCTGCGTCATAGAAGTGACGTTGACAAGATGTGCCTGCAAAGTCATGAAACTGACATTTTATTTTACCCATCCAACTGACGTTCAAACTCAACTTCGTTATGACGACGTGAAAATCACGTCATAGAGAGTACGTTATAGTGACGTCAGAAATTGATGTGTCACGTCTCTGACGAAAAATCATCAATGGGGTACTTCACAGTGACGTGACCATTCGTCATCTGGTTGCCTGAGAAATATCGCCTCGATATAGAAGTTGCACCAATTGAACATTCGGTACATTCCAACATAAATCCATTAGCTACGGTTCTGGCCGCACGAAACAGGGCTAGCTCTCTGACTACCCGACTGATCTCCTATTTCCCTATTGACGTAGGGTAGAATTTTGTTCGTCTAGTGCTAGTGGTCGGAATATCTACCCCAATTGCTGTTTCTGTGCATTATCATAGACCCATGCACGTTTACGAAAATATTCAACCTATTTACATGCTTTCGATTAATGGTGAGTGACGCCTAAGTGCAGCAGCAGCGATTCGTTTATACATGGAAAAATTATCATTAAGAAGTCATCCAACACCGCGAATGTTCATTAATTTGCTGCAGAAGTAGCGTTACACAAGATTTTCGAAGGAAAAAGAGGAGAACATGTGGGAAATCCTGCACCACCTGAGATGGTTATTGAACTAAAACAGTAATATGTCCAGTTCTATCGGTGAGTTTCTGAACTCCGTTATTCCGCAACTTCTGTATGAGTTATTTTTGATTATTTTGTCTATTTCGTTCAGTTCATCATGTTGATGAAGTTTATCACCTTTTTGACTACCCAGATGTCGCCATCAATAACGTATACTCATATACGTATTAATAATCAATACGGATAATCTCTATCTGTTTCCATAGCGAAACATGAAGCCGATTTTTGAAGACAAATGACTATCCATAAGGAGAAGTTTCGAAACGATCAGACACATACTGCTTTGATTGAAAGGCTAGTAAACGTCATTGTCCACCGAAACGCATGTCTTTGATGACTACTATAATAGCGCATGGCGCATGCGTATCATGCCACCAAATCCTTATGGATATTCATTTGTTTCATATTTTTGGCTTCATCCTGGCACCCGTTATGATCCGTATTGTTTATTAATACGTATATGCGTATACTATGAGAGCAATCGACCGTCAATTGATTTGATTGGTTGATTGATTCAAGTATATTTCACAATCTTCTCATGCATCTCTTATCATCAGGATATAGGATCCATTGATTATCATGGTTCAATAAGTGTTCACATTCATGATGCGACAAATTGAACTCACCCTTCTTAGACGTCCGGAAACTGTCATCTCTTGGCACATATTGGATATCGTAAACAAGGGTGGTATTGGGTAACAAATCTCTGTCTTTGTTTATTTTGTATACGGCGTACTTGAACGCCATTTCCACGCTCGTGTTCTTCTGGTCTTCTGTAAATATGGCCCCTGAAAATAAGACAAATTATGAATATTATAGCCCTTGTCACGAAGTAGACAATATTTATACAAGATTGATCATTCTTTGAAAAATTTCCCGTCGAATACTGGAATGGAATAACGTCGATGGATTTCTTGATATGGTCAACTCACGTCAATATATCCATCAGGTTGCTAAGCAATATTCAGTGGGTTGTTACTAAGGAAAGGAAAGCTAAAATTATTTGCGAATGATTGGGATAGTATTTTCTATATCCAAAGTTGATTGAAGCATATCCCAGTAAACAATAGTACATGGTCCATCACTTTTACATCAATGTCACCTCAGTCAACTATCATTGGCTTGATATTGGCATTTTTCAATGATAAATCACAAAAGTTGCTCACAGGCCGACTTAACGTCAATATTGGTGATGCAGTACTTCCATTTATTGCTTGTTCATTGTTGGCCCAGTGATGACTGAATAACGTATTTTTAGTGCATTCTCAATGAAAATCAAGCGGTTCATACTTACGCAGTGAATTTAGAGGTCACGTATAGAATTTATTATTTTACTGATAATAATCATTGTAATAATAATATTAATTACCTACTATACAATGAATCTTCTCTCATTCAGTTATTCACATCTGATCTGGTCAATCAGCCAAGAGTTCACGAATTGTTTTTCTGTTGATTGATATCGTAATTTTTTATGGAATATTTGGAACATGCCAAAACTTGAGAACTTCTCTTCTCTGGTATTCGGAATGAACTATTTGTGAATTCCGAGTAAGCTATAAATCATAACTGCATATTAACTAGCCTGCTGCTACAAAAGTCAGATGGAAACAAAGACTCAAGTCAAGTTGATGCCATGAACTTTGAAATTGAAAACGAAATTGATCATGGCCCCCTGATATTGGTACCAATGTGACTACAAAATCTCAAATATTTCGAAAACTGTTCAATTTTTCGTATTTTGATAACATTACCTATCAACTACTTTCATTTTTCAACCAAAACAAATTCACGAAGAGAAGTTGTCTCCCAGAAATCATGACTCATCCTCTGAAAACACCCTTTACAACGATACCATGATTGTGAAAGGGCATCAAAAAAATGTATTTCAACAACATACATTGATGCAGATAATTTCAATCTGGTGGCTTCCACCGTTTAGAAATCATCCGAGAATATTATTTTAATTTCATCAGCTTTGGAAGGATACATCTCCTTTGATACGCATTTTGGGTTGTTGGTTAATCTATCGAAGTATACTCATTTTTTAACGTTCTATCATCACCTCCATCGGAAAGCTCGGTACATATTTTTGACTCACCCTGTATACGTTGAATATGGTGCCACAACAAAGGGACAAACACAGTATATCCTAGCCTATTTTGAAGATTAACATAGAACATATCAGCCAATTACTTTATGGAGTAAGTACCTGCTATACCTGCCTATACTCTATGTTTAAAAGTATAATCTGAAAATTGAAATAATCTTCAATTTGAGTCAATATTTCAAGCTAGAGAAGCATAATGTGGGATACCGACCGAAAGAGGTCAAACTTTTCACAAAAGTGAAGTTTCCAAATTTATGGAAAAGACAATTTTTCAAAACCTTCTAAAAGTCGTCATCTTTTTGTATTCTCGTTGTTATATGATATGGAGCTCGTGGGAAAAATGCTGTTTCTAACACGTGCGCAAAGTTTCCTGCTTGCCGCTTCGCCTAACTGTTTTGACCTGTGGAAAAGTAACACTTCGGGCACTTGTTAGGAAAATAACTATATTGACAATAAACACGAAACATTATCATGCCTACAGTTTTATGAGCGGTATTTCTCCGACCCATCAGATTATTAGTGAATAATTTCCGAAATTAATTAAACTCCTTCACTAGTATGCAACTGAAATCACATTTTTATATTATGGTCTCGGTAATCCCTCACTTTTTCATTTCATTTTTCATTTACATTGCATTAGAGCAATCAGCTACGTTAAGCTTCCGAAATGAAATCTAATTGGAAATTAAAATTGCTGTGGTTTTCTAAATTCTGTTAATTGTTACTAACGACTTTATCTCCCGACAAGTAATGCCCATGAGATTTTCGAATTACGAAACTGCAGGCAACTAGAAAATAATGGTTAATTTGAATTCCATAACAACTTCGAGAGCTACAGGGTGTTTAAAAAACAAGGTGACCCCCTTGATGCTAGGATAGGTAGAACACTGCAAAATAAGGTGGGTTTGCTCAGTATGAAATATTTAAGAGTGTCTGTTTTTTTTGCTGCTGAGCATTCCACGGAAATGATACATGAATATTGTATGTAGACGATTGTCACCCTACATCTACTCTATCTATACATAATTATAATTTTTTTCAGGTCGGGATACAGGACTCTAGAATTCTATAACTAATTTGATACGATTCGATATAGTTACCAATTCAGAAAGATGATTCAACTATAGAAACAAGAATATTGACTCAAACTCAATTGAGTCATCTGGATATCAATATTATAGTGATGGAAAATATTATGATGAACTCTTAAGCGTCTTGGAGATGAGCTCGAGAATATATAAACTGAGAAATATGTTTCGAAAATCACATCACGAATGAGCACAAAAACGATGAAAATCAGTTGCGATTAAATCGGAAAAACGACCATTTCGAGCGATAGTAATAAGAATTTGAATGAAAGTGATACAGATTCAGATTGGTTGAATTTCTATATTTGAGCAGAGCAAACCTGGAATCAAAATAGGTATCATGAGCAATTCATATTTTCTTCGAAGTTATTCGAGTCCCCAAGACTTGTTTGGTTCTCAGCTTACTTTGATAACTACGAATGATATCTGAAAATCCATATTTTTACTCTTTGACCTGTTTACCATAATAGACAACAACAAAATTGGCTGTAATGGAATTGTATTGACTTTTGACAGTTGACAAGGTTACTATGCCGTAAAAAGAATTAGTTATTTATTCATTTGTTTTACTAGGTAGAAAAGTACAAGATTGAATGCTGCGGCTCGGCGTAGCAAACCAAGGCATTACATCTTCTCTTCTGCCATGTGAAACATGTGATTTTTCCTCCAAATTCTTTTCAATTTCACGCAAAGTCGGAATAATCCATCATTTTCTGTTCACCCAAAGTCATTGTCCATTTTTCTGCCTAGGCAGTGAAAGTTCACCTTTCTCGCCTGTTGAGTGTCATTGAAAATCCACGTTTAATGTCATTTGGAGAAAAAATATTATCTCCTTGTTTCCTCTATACATGTGAGATACATTATAAGGTTGTGAAACGAAAACGTTGCACAAACAATATAACAACTCTTTCTGATATATATCTGATGAACCTTAAATCAATATACAGTGTCATTCATAAAGTCGGCATCATATGGGAAAAACTTTTATTATTGACTTATTTTGGAATTCGAGTTGGACGTTAGGTTTTGCTTCAAAAAGATGAAAAATGGCCCACTCAATCGGGGTCACGTGACTTTCACTACATGTCAAAAGTGACATTTTTTCAAATTAATCGCTGAAAGTAGGCTTATTTGTTCGAATATCAAAAAAATTTATTTGAGAAGGTTGTTTCTATTCCAATTTTACACATGCTTTCCAATTTTGATTTTTCCATTGCAACTTTTAGATTTTGATTTTTTTTTTAATTTTTCGAAATTCCTGTAATATTTGAAGAATTGTTAATTCCACGAAACTAATTCATACCAGTAGCTTTTTCATGCTACCTACTTTCAATTACTTATTATGACTGATTATGGACAGAAATATGATTTTCTTCAGAAAATGATAATAGCCGCTTCCAAATTCTCTTATGTTTGATGCAAAGTTGATATATCGTCAAACATTTAGAAACGAAATCAATTTGAACTGATCTGTTCAGTACTGAAAAAATAAATTTAAATAAATTTCGTTTCTGAATGCTTGACTCAAACATAACAGAATTTTGATGCTATGTTTGGATCAAACATAACAGAATTTTGAAGAGGAGATTATTATTTTCTGAAGAAAATCATATTTTTGTCGATGATTAGTGATAATTAGTAATTGAAAGTTAGTAACATGATGGAGCTACTGATTTGAAGTAGTTTCATCGAATTTACAATTTTTTTAATATAACAGAAATTTCGAAAACTTTTAAAAAATATCGAAATCTAAAAAATGAAATAGAAAGATGAAATCCGAGTCACATATGTAAAATTCAAATAGAAACAACTTTTTCAAGTAAACTTTTTCGATATTCGAACAAATAAGCCTACTTTCAGCGATTAATTTGAAAATATGTCACTTTTGACATGTAGCGAAAGTCACGTGACCCCGATTGGGTAGGCCATTTTTGATCTTTTTCGAAGCAAAATTTGACGTTCAACTCGGATTTCAAAATAAGTCATTAATAAAAGTTTTTCCCATATGATGCCGACTTTATGAATGACACTGTATATCACAAAATCATTTGATGATATTGATTCCAATATTGATGCAACGTCGTATAAACGTTCAACATCATATATCATGTTGGATACTTCAGAAGGACATTATCGCAATGTTATTTCAACAATATTACAAAACTTATAACTGAAAAATATTTTTATCATGTTATGAATGACACGACAGCAAAATTCGTCAATTGATAGCCATAACACGAAAAGGAAATACCATTCCATAATGACTTCACGTGTGTGGATGACACATGAATGTTTTTATATTTCATCTTTCACCCATACGCCTCGATTTCCAGAAGTCAATACAGAACCATAAAATGATGAGACATAATTCCATGTTCCTCAATAATTCTCTTTTGCTTTCATATCCCGAACCGATTCCCACATCGAGAGAAACAACTCATTTTTGTCCTTTAAAGGTCCGTCATTAGTGGATCCTTTTATGAGATATCCGCCTGGAGCAAGGCGTACGAAGTTCGCACAGGTCATTACAGATCGAACAAAGAGAAGCAATCTGCTCAGGGTGCAGGTGAATTTCTGAAAAAAGATTTTCAC